TATATATATATATAAAAAACTTTTAAGAATTTATTCTTCCGATATTCCGATTCGATACAAGCATGCTTTCTTGATTATTTTGCCTTTTTTCAATTTTTCTCTTCACAAATAAAGTTCATCTTGATTCGCATGTTTAATTTTTACCAGAGTTTTACGGGAATAAAATCGCAGCTTGGACTCTTAGACATAAAATTTCATTTGTTGTTATCATGTATTTCATATATCAGCCCATGTAATATAGAGTCAAAAATAACTTCCCAAATAGAAGTTATTTTTATCATATAACATTGCTTATGGTCACAGTTTTAGCAAAATCATAAAAGAGTGTAAAGAGTAGACGAGAAATAGCACTTAGGAAAACCAGGAGACTATGTATCGGCGGGACAATTGCAACATGAAAATGATTTTGAAATAAAATCTATGATACAAAAACGTAAGGCAATTAGACATAAGCAGTAAGCAAATCACAATAGAGAAACATAATAGAGAACACATAATAGATAACACAATAGAGAACATAAGGTGATTGCCATACATTCTCTATTATGATTGGCTAGTTACTTTTCGTTTATTGCATCTCTTACTGCCGTAAGTTTTTCTAATGTGTTTCTGGCTTAAAAATCTTCACCGCCATCTTCATTGCGACCACTCTTGCCGCCTTTTCGAGAATGCCTGTGGTTTTTAGAGAAAAAGATACCACCTACAAGACGAGAGGATACCACCCATGAAAGAAGATATTTGTGCTCATGTTAAAGTTTTCGGAGAAAAAGAATTCTGTGAGACATTATTTTTGTTTATGCTTGGATTTTTCCCGCCACTCTTTAATCATGAAAGAAATACCGTGGAATATATATTGAAAATATAAGAAAGACAAAAGAGAATATGCTCAAAATAGAATAAAGATAAAAAAAAGATAAGAAGAAATAGTACTTAAAGTGGTTATACATTTTTGATAACTTAAAAATCATTGTATGTTAATGTGATCTCATTATATCTTCATCAAAGTTGTTGCATATTATTTTATTTTAAACAATATTTAATGACAAACAAATGCGTATGCAAAATTTTGGATCTTCTGGGAATATCTTCGTAATTAATGGTTGCGTTCAGCAGAAAAAGTAGCTTCAAGAATTTTACAACAGTTGCAAAGTTGCTTTTCTATTAAACATAGCCAATGTGTGAATATCAACGCAACATAAAAAAAGAGTCAGGTAATAGTTATCAAATAGTAAGTGAAACAGTGCCAATTAAATGTAATTATTTGATTAATTATATTAAAATTATATGATCAACAATATAATAATTTTATTTTTCTAAATAAGGTAATGTCTCAGTAGCTGAACGTTTAAGCGTAGGTTGTCATAAATAATTTATAATGTATTAGAAGGTTTTAATATAAATATATTTGTATTCATTTGAAAACTCAAGACTTTCTTAAGCAAAGAAAAATTATTTGAACCCACTTATAACAATTATTAATTAAAATATTTAAATAAGTAATGGAATGCGTTAATATACCAGTGGCCAGTCAGCCGGTCGGACACTGAGATGTAATTATCCCAGTGTCCAACTACAATTAGAAAATTAGTATGCTAAAGGGAAATATTAATGTAAATAAATATTTAATGACAAAAGACTACAAAAGCTAATTCAAATTGATCTTTAAGGTAAAAAGCATTTAAGACTGAATATTAATTTAAATAAAGTTTTCTGTCCGGTCTCAGTGACTGGACATGTACCTGTGTCTGGATTTACACAACACTTTATATATTTAAATTAATATTAGTCTGAAATACGTTTTTTAAAATATTATAATTTAATTGTAATCTTTAAATACAATTAAATTTTAATACAGTAATAAAAAAAGCATTTGAGATTAATAATAATTTTTGTGTAAGTGTCCAGATATAGGTACGTGTCCGGTCACTCTCTGGAACATTTACCTTATTTAGTAAATATTATCAAACATAATAATATAATCAACCATTTGGTAATATTTACTAAGTATTCAGAAAAATAAAATTATTTTTGGTTATATTAACAGAACATTTGATTGGTCGTTATTTCACTCAATTTAATAGCTATTATCAGATTTTTTTCAAAAAAAAGTAACGTAAATTATTTAAGTTTGATACAAAGGGAGGAATAGCTTGGGTAAAAAATGTAATCAAGGAAAGAAAATTAATTATAGAAAAATTAAATATGGAAATATATAGAATATTGTAATTTTCTTTTTATTTTGTCTTTATAGATTTGATTGTGAAGATTCGATTTTATTGTAGAAAGTTTATATATTTCCATTACTATATAAGTCGTAAGACCTTTCAAAAGCTAAAAGGCA